TTTTAAATTAACGTAAGATAAGAGGAAATTTCAAAAGTTATATTTCATAAACAGTTAAAAGTTTCACATGTCATTTATAAATATGTACCTATGTTTATTATTGGACTTCAATGATAAGTTCATAAGTGCATGTTTTCAAGAATGTAAACATGTGTCATGTTTTGAAAAGTATTTCAAATAATGTAAGAAGTTCATTCTTTGTAATGGGGGAATTGAGCATAAAGTTATATCACTTATTTTGGGAGTAGTATCGAGCACCGAGTTGGGTTAGAGTCTCTTATGATTCGGAAGTCCCATAAAACTACATAGCTAGTGTAGGATAAGGTAGCATTGATTCTTCATGCGACTCATCATTGCCTCTGAGAAGGCCAATCATATGGATCCATAGTCACGATATTATCCTATACCCCGACAAAGTACAGGATGGCCCTTGCAACATGGGCGAAACGTTGTACATTGCTAGGCTCATGGTAATTCTTGTCGGTTAAAGAAACTCCCCACAAGTAAAGTATATTATTTTCATATTGCTTTCATTGTTTAATATATTGTAACACTAAAATGGTTTTCATAAGTTTCTTCCAGTCATTTAAACCCATAGATTGTTTACTCTAACCTTATCACTTACCTGTATATTCAATGTACTGATGTCATTCGACTTGCATCATTTTATGATGTAGAAACAGGTGCTCATGATCATCAACCGGTGATGCATTGAGGTCACTATTCATTCACATACAGTAGTTGGTGAGGCATCCTTACTTCTGGGAGACCCCAATTCATTTCAGTTTTAGTAGTAGTTGAGGTATCGTATGTCTTGTTCCGACACCTATCTTGTATTGTTAGAGGCTTCATAGACACACTAAATTAGATTTGTTCCATTGTTTTCTTAGGATGTTTTATTTAACTTATGATTCATGTTAAGTGTTTTGTTAGACTGTACTTTTAAGATTTTCTTAAATGTCTAAGTGTTCACTTATTTTAACCTTCCGCGTATTATTTAGTGTCATGTAAGTCATGTACCCAGGCCATGGGTTTTCTTGGGGATCAGAGATTGTTCTCTAGTGCCAATTACGTATAGGGTGTAGGTTAGGGTTGTGACAATGTTACTAATAGCCATTCGACAATACAATGCATGTCTAGGAAATCAGTTGAATTGGAATAGATAGATTCGATTACAAAGGAAAGAAGATTAATTGAATAATAAACTTGTATACAAAAGCCGGCTATTGCACTAACCATATTGGTATTAAGTGTAAATGTGTGTATAAAGTTAAACATGAACTCGATTTTACCTCTTTTAGAGTATGAGGGGTCGAATAAATAACTACTAAAGTAATGAATGAAGTCTGGGATACTATGAGTAATAGTATTCTCAAATAAGTAGTGAATTCCTTCCAAATATGATTAGGCTCTTATGTCGGGTTTGGAAAACCTTAAGGTTAAACTCTTGATGCTCACATATTGCACAAACTATTTGTTTTATGAATTGTGTGTCTAGTTGATATTGTATTGGCTTGGGTTTTGTCTACCATGTGCGAAAGGGGAGATGTAATTTTGGGTCGTGGGTCTCCCATATGGACCGACCTGACCCGATCCAAGAAGTTTTTTGAGAAGAGATAGGAACTAATTATCTCTTATTTAAAAAAAATAAAGGGGGAACAGTTTGGTAAATAAAATTTTTCCCAACCCTTCCTGATAAAACAATTTTTGCCTTGACACTAAAAGGCAACGTAAAAAATAATTTAAAAAGAGAACACAAACCAGAAGAGAATAAGAAAACTCAGAAAACTTTTTTGTCTGAAGATAAACATTTAGTTTGTGAATCATACTTTGTTTCCTAGTGATTCATAGAAGGACTTTGGATCAATCGTGTTAAAATAGCAAAATCAATGACTTTTGCTTCAAATACAAGGTACATAAATCGTCAATTTTGCTCTCTCTCTCTCTATATATATATATCAACAATAAGGCTAAATATAAATTGAGACACTATAAGTATAAACATACTTGTTGAAACTTCATTTGGTGATAAAAATAAAAGTTCAACTATGGAACATATATACTAAAAAAGACCAACACACACACACACAAATTGAATTACGAGTTTAAGAGAACCCAAAAGTTTTAGATGCTTAAACTCTTAACTCCTCCATCGATTTTACAGTCACATAAAAAATATATAGTAAAATTTGAGAAATAGATATAATCATATGTCAAAACAAAAAAACCCACCAACAATTTTAAAAATAATCAAATCAAGAGTATACGATATAATTAAAGCTCTCTGATCTGGAGAGTTTTTCAAGACGCTCATGGAGCAGATTTCTTTCTTTGGGAAGATGCGCACATCTTTGTTGTTTTCTTCCTCTTTTCTTCTATCACCTCGGGGTCATTACTGGCTCTCATTCTTTGGGTTATATAAGGCTTTCTAGGGATGACTGCATTGCTCCCTCTTGATATCGCAGGTCCTCTTGCTAGTGCTCATAAGGATTTATCTTTAAGTCGAATTGTCCTATAATAAATTAAAGTACCAGAATAATTAACAACAACAATAACAATTTAAAATGTGATAATAAATTAAACTTAATTATTTTTAAACATGCAAGACACAATTATCTTGACGATGAAGCAAGCTGATGTGATTCTACATGTTGCAAAGTCTTGGTTAAATGACTTGTGACTTCTTGATAAACTTCTTGACTAAACTCGACAAATCCATGGATCAATATCTATAAAAAGTAAATATAAAATATTTTTAGCATTTTGCAAACTATAGTTAAGACTCCTTAATTTAAACACTCAAAAGTCAAATGTAGATCTATTCCATTCACTTAATTATCACACAATTATTATGTAAATACTATGCACACATATTTTTCATACAAGACTACATTAATATTAAGATATCAAGTGATAATATATAAGTAAATGCTTCAACATTCCAACCTCATTGTCAGCAACACTTGTAAATCCATGAGTTTTTGATGAATCATATCCATCAGAATCGTCAGTTATGATTATAAAATCTAGAAATTATTAAAATAAAAGTTAAAAAAGGATAAGTTTTCATAAAATTTCAAATAATCATGATATTTCTAATTTAGAATGTAATGACTTATTCCCGTCGTTATAGAAAGGCCAACGGAGAAAAAAATTTGGGCTGGAAAACTTTTTCGTAGTATCTTGAGATGTCCCAACCTAGTCCAGATTTGGATGAAATCCGAGTCATTAAAGTCTAGGGAAATCTTATAGCAATTGTTGCACTAATTATAAATTTGATCACAGGAGTAGATAGTCAAGTCGTTAAGGAACCCGTACGACTTTACGGAATTGAATTCGGGTGAGTAGAACTCCCGAAACTGATCTTTAGCCTGCACGATTTTTTTTTAGTTTCGTTGGTTGAAGGTGTGTTGTGAAACGGGGTCTTGGATTTATTATTTTTGCTCACTGGTTCTGTGTAAGGCGCTGATGCAGGATTTTTGCCGCCAGGGCGGGGCCGCTGTAGCGGAGTGAGTCCCGCTGTGGCGGGGCAGACGCGACTTAAAGTCGGAAATAAACCCCAACATCGTTTTATTCTACAATTTTCAAACTTGATAGCTAAGGAACGAACCTAGGGATTTTCTTAACAGTTTTCCACCATTCTTGAGGCTAAATGTAAGATTTTAACTCCCAGAATCCATCTTTCGATCCGTACAACGTAATCTAATGGGTAATTATCGATGGGGGAGGGTTTTGATCTGGAATTTATGGCGGAAACAACCCTAATTTGGATATGGGGATCATGGGTATGATCTAGGGTTGATAGAATTATTAGTAATTCGGGTAATTAGTGATTGTTTATTTATTTCCGTGTTATTATTATTGTTTGTAGACCAAGAACAAGCGGAACGAATCCGAAAAGGGAAGAACCAAGTTTGTTAAAGGTTTTGAGCTTGTTTCGAGGTAGGTGATGGTTGTGATTCTATGATTGTGTGATGTATGTTTGTTCTTGCTTCATTATGATATATGTATGTATGCGAATGTTGCGTTATTGATCACATTAATTGTAAATGAGGATATATGAATGATGAATGCCATGAATCATGACTTTATTGTATGATTATGAGAATGCACTTTGTGATTGCGATTATGGCTTGTTGAATGGATTGGGTGTTGCGTTCCGACACATTAACTTGGATCGGTTGCCACGTTTTGTCATAATTATGGGATCGGGTACCACGTTCTGGTATGCTAACTATTTGGGTTTCGATTCCATGAGAGGACCAATGACTTGATATAACTGTGATATTTGAGAATTGTGAAACTATTCGTTGTTCTTAAATGATGATAGTAATGTATATGCTCGATATATGCATCTGATTATATTGTTGTATTGACTTATGTATTTTACACTTAGTGGGATAGCCGTGTGATCCTACCAATACACTGTGGTTGTTTACTGATACTGCACTTGCTCTTTCTTTGTTGAGTACAGGGCATCTTTAGGCGGTTATTGACAGACCTCGCTTAGAAGATCAGTTATCGTCATTCGAATTCAAGGGTGAGCCAGTTCTTCCGGGCTGCCATGTGTTCTCCTTTCGTCTATGTCCACATTTTGGACTTAGACTTTTATAGTTAGTTGTTAGTTCATTAGTTCGGGGTTGTATCCCTTCTTGTTTAGACCTGTTGAACTTTTGATGTTTTGTAACATTAACTTTCAGGTTCTAGGTATATTTTTCCGCATTGTTTAGTTGATAGATCATTTGGAAGTTTATGGGAACTTCAGTTTTTAGCTATTTAACTTGCTTTCGTAACTTAAATGCCTTAGTATTTTGGTTGAGTTGTTAGTTTGGGTTGTAGTAATTGTTCTCCCACCGGAGGGTTAGTATGGGTGCCAATCACGATAGTCTGGGTCGTGACAAAATTTGTATCAGAGCCTAGGTTCATTGATCTCGATGTACCAAAACAAGTCTAGTAGAGTCTTGTGGAATGGTATGGGAAACCTTTACTTTTGTTTGAGAGGTTATAGGATTTGAGGAAATCTCTCTGTTTTCTCTTGTCTCCTTTCATGCTATAACTTGATTCCAATTGCTATCTGGCGATTCAAATTGGTATCTAACCTCCTTCACTCTTCTGTCCGCAGATGGTTAACATTAGATTCAACGGCGTCAGGCCCGTAGCTCCTGTCAATGCTTCAGCTGAGGAATCTACAGTGAGAGGTCGCGGTCGAGGTAGGGGTAGAGGAAGAGCTAGGGGTAGAGGCCGAGAAAGAGTGGCGCCTACTAGAGATTGGGTACCGGTCGAAATTGCTCCCCAAAATAAGACCCCTCCGGTACATCATGAAGAGATAGAATATGATATTTAGGTTGAAAATGTTGAGGAGATTAGACAAGAGGAAGAGGTGTAGGCTGAAAATGCAGTTATTCCTCCTTTGGACCAGTGTTAGCTCAGCAGATCATGTCATTCTTGAAAGGGTTGGTTGGTCCTGGAATGCTTCCTTCTGTACAAGCAACTCAAGCTCCTACTAATCCCCTTGTTGCTATCACTGCTCCCAAGGTAGGTGGGACTGGAGGTAATGATGCTTTCTTTCGTCCTTTGTTGGGTTCTGTTATGACTGGTAATGAACATGAAATATTGAATAAGTTTTTGAAGCTAAAGTCTCCTGTATTTCTTGTTTCTGAGAGTAAGGATGCTTATGAGTTTATCTTAGACTGCTATGAGAGGCTTCATAAGTTGGGAATTGTCCATCAGCATGGGGTTGAGTTCGTGACTTTTCAAGTTCAAGCTAAGGCTAAGCAGTGATGGAGAGCATATGTGGAGTATAGATCTTCAACCTTACCCCCACTCTTTTGCACCCAATTTCATGCTCTATTTTTTTATAGAAATATGTGCCTAGGACTTTGAGAGATCGCAAGAAGGATGAGTTCATGGCTTTGAAGCAAGGTGGTATTTTTGTGGCTGCTTATGAGGCCAAGTTCCATGCTTTCTCTAGATATGCTACTCAATTGGTGACTACTGAGGATGAGAGGATCCATTTATTTATTAGGGGACTAAACTCTGAGTTGTAGGTATTGTTTGTTCATATGACCTATGCAGGGAGGAGCTTTAATGGGTAACTGACTTTGTTAAGAAAGTGGAGGGGGTGAGGCGAGCCTATCAGGCTAAGGCATTGGCTAAAAGGGCCAAGAACTCGGGTAACTTTCACGGTTCTTACTCCAGGGGTCCGGAAGGCTAACGCTTACTGCAAAGCCAATTCAGTCTGCTATGCCCGCCTTTATATGTAATTACTCGGGAACTCCACCTCATAATTTGACTCAGGATAGTCAAGAAGTCACGCCTTCAGTGGGTAGCAGGCCCTCTTTTGATCATACATGTTACAACTGTGGAAATTCTGGGCATATGAGGAGAGATTGTCCCCACCCGTGCATGATGGATTCCGCACAACAATAGACTAGAGCAGTGGTACCCGCGAGAAATGGTAATAATGGTCGAGGGAGTCCACAAGGTAGGCGAAGAGGTAATCATCGAGGCCGTGGGGGTATAGGAAATGGTAACGCAGGCAGAGGTGCAACGGAACCAGGTAGGGAAGTAGCTCGTCAAGATGATAAGGCTCAATGATATGCCTTTCCGGGCAAGAGTGAGGCAGAGGCGTCTGACGTAGTGATCACATGTACTATTCTTGTCTGTGACTGGATGGCGAATTTGTTATTTGATCCGGGTTCCACTTATTCTTATGTATCCGTGTGATTTGCCTCAGAATTTGCTATGATTTGTGATATACTGGATGTCTCCATCCATGTTTCTACCTCAATTGGAAAGTCTGTCATAGTCACCCATGTCTATCGTGCTTGTCCTATTTTGTTTAAGGGTTTTCAGACTTGGGCTGATTTGGTGATTTTGGATATGAATGATTTTGATATAATCTTAGGCATGACTTGGTTGTCCCCCTATTATGCTGCGCTTAATTGTAATACTAAGTCTGTAACTCTAGAAATTCCGAGAAGGTAAAAGTTAGGGTGGGAAGGGGTGTACAAGTCTAAGCAAGCTAAGATCATATCCTCCATTCGGGCTAGAAAACTGGTAGAGCAGGGTTGTTTGGCTTATTTGTCTCATATTCGGGATGTTGAGGTTGAGTCTCCATCTATTGAGTCTATCGTGGAGTCATAATTTAGAGAAGTGTTTCCTAATGATTTGCCTGGTATGCCTCCGGATAGGAATATAGACTTTTGCATTGATTTAGAACCTGGTACCCGTCCCATTTCTATCCCTCCATATCGCATGGCTCTGGTAGAATTAAGAGAGATTAAGGCTCAAATCTAAGAACTTCTTGATAAAGGATTCGTTCGCCCTAGTGCTTCCCTATGGGGTGCTCCAGTGTTGTTTGTTAAGAAAAAAGGATGGTAGTATGAGAATGTGTATAGATTACCGACAATTGAATTGGGTCACTATTCGAAACAAGTACCCTTTGCCTCGAATAGATGATCTTTTTGACCAATTGCAAGGTTCATCAGTTTTCTCCAAGATTGATCTAAGGTCTGCCTACCATCAGTTTAAAATTAGGACTGAGGATGTGCTTAAGACACCCAAGACGGCGTTTAGAACCCACTATGGGCACTATGAGTTCCTAGTTATGTCGTTTGGTTTGACTAATACTCCTACAACTTTCATGAGTTTGATGAATGGGGTGTTCAAGCCATTTCTTGACTCGTTTCTTATAGTCTTTATTGATGACATTTCGGTCTATTCGAATAGTGAGGAAGAGCATGCTGACCATCTTCGTATTGTTCTGGGTGTTCTTGGGAAACAAAGGTTGTATGCTAAATTTTCCAAGTGTGAATTTTGGTTGACTTATATTGCATTTTTGGGACATGTAGTTTCAATAGAAGGGGTAATGGTAGATCCTTAAAAGATTGAGGCGGTTATAAATTAGGTTCGGCCTAACTCGGTGATGGAAGTTAGGAGTTTTGTGGGGCTTGCTAGTTATTATCGTCGATTTGTGAAGAACTTTGCTTCTATTGCCACTCTCTTGACTAATTTGACCAAAAAGGAGATACCATTTGAATGGACTAAAAAATGTGAGGAGAGCTCTTAAAAGCTCAAGACTCTCTTGACCACCGCACCTATTCTAGCATTATCGACTGAAGGTAAGGATTTTATTGTTTATTGTGATGCTTCACATTCTGGTTTGGGTGTTGTGCTGATGCAGTATACGAATGTTATAGCTTATGCATCACGTCAATTGAAGGTGCATGAGAGGAATTACCCAACACATGATTTGGAGTTGGCAACGGTAGTGTTTGCTCTTAAGATATAGAGGCATTACCTCTATGGTGTTAAGTGTGAAGTGTTCACTGATCATCGTAGTTTGCAGCATGTGTTCACTCAAAAGTATATGAATTTGAGAAAGAAAAGGTGGATGGAGTTAATTAAATATTATGATGTCACCATTCAATACCATCCGAGTAAGGCTAATGTAGTGGCAGACGCTTTGAGTCGAAAAGCGGTGAGTATGGGTAGTTTAGCTTGCTTAAGTGTAACCAAGGGACCTTTGGCTAAGGAAATTCAGACCTTATAGTCTAAGTTCATG